CTGTAAACAAAGCTTTTAATTCATTTTAAGATGCAGATTTGAGTTCTTGTGACAAAAACAACAGTCTTTCAGCATGCAAACACCGAAAGGGAGGAAGCATTAATGCTGCTGACAAAACAGAAGTTCTGTTCTAATTTTCGTAACAAAAAAATACAGAGCCCAAGTTCTCAATATTTGAAGAACCTTCTAGTAATCATATACTCTTAGTTTTATTCAACTTTGCCTTAATTATGGGTATCAGAAGGGAGGGCAAAGGATGAGAAGAAGCAGAATGGTGTTCATGACACCATACGCTGGGCTTCCTGGGCCTCCTGGTGTTCCCTAGCTCTGGCTGCCATCTAGTGTTTAGTCAGGCACCATGAAGAACACAGCTTATTTTGCCTATGAATTTTCTTTTGAGATTGTCAACTCCGAAGAGTATCTCCAAAGTATAATACAGGAAGAATAAAGGGACTGGACCATCTATTGTATGAGGAGAGACTAAACAAGCTGGGCCTGTTTAGTCTAGAGAAGAGGAAACTGAGAGAGGATCTGATCAATATGTATAAAGACCTGAGAGGAGAATGTAAAGAGGATGGGGCCTCTTTAAAGGAAGTTCCATCTCCATGTGAGGAAGAACTTCTTTCCAGAAGGTGACAGAGCCATGGAACAGGCTGCCCAGAGAGGTTGTGGAGTCTCCTTCTCTGGAGATCTTCCAAACCCTCCTGGATGCCACCCTGTGCCACCTGCTCTAGGTGTCCCTGCTGGAGCAGGGGGTTGGACTAGATGATCTCTAAAGGTCTCTTCCAATCTCAGCCATTCTGTGATTCTGCGAGTACGTAGCTCTTCAGGACAGTGGCATAACATGCTTTCAATTCAGCACACTCCTCCAGTATTTCTTCTTGCAAACATTGCACATGGCTTTCAGCACGGCGGCTCTTGCTTGCCCACTGTTATAGCAGCAGACAGCAGAGGGGATGCAGTGGAGAACGTTCCCCCTATACTGATGATCCCTTGCAAGCAACAGAGCTTTGAGTGGAGACTGTGCAAGCTGGAGGGTAGTGTGAGAAACTGGTCATTCTGCACCCACTGCCACGTTTGCTGCAGGATGGGCAGGCAGTAATCCAGGGATGCAATGGATTATGTTGCCCTGGGGATCTGGCTCACTCGCAAAGGTCCCACACTGTCAAATCACCAGCAAAACCTCGTGCGGCGCTTGTGCAAGCAAAAGAGGCAATTTCCTACAGCCAACTGCTGTAGATCCGAAAACAACATGGCCTTGGAAAATTACCTGTCAGCATCCTGACGGTAGTATCAGGCCTGTGAAGTAATTGTTTTATTTACAAATAATGAATGCTGCTCAATTAACAGTTGGCTTTGAAAAGAGGGGAAGTTGCTCATGGAATGAGAGACATCCCTTATTTAACTTGCTTCACATCAAGATGACATGTTGACATTTAGTGTCTAGTCAGAAGGTCTCTTTCAGTTTTAGGCATGGGAACAGTCATTCAGCGGCTTCTTAAAACTGTAGTTTCCAGTCACAGAGATGCTGAGAAATAGCCCACGTTTAACATGTTGGTGTGTGGGTGAGGGGGAAATGCTGTAGTGTTGTCTTTTATCTTTTTTTTTTTTTTTTTTTTGGGGGGGGGAATATTTATACTTCTCCAAGTACTCCAATTACTCCAAGTAGTCTACTAGAACATGCTGCTCTGAAAAAGGGGCAAAGCTTTGCAGTCTGCCATAGAAACCTATCACTAAGTGTCAGTAAATCCACTACTAGAGACAGCTAATGAACAGCAAAGGCAGCCGAAAGATAGGCTGGAGCTACCTTTCATTTCTGCCAGGACAGTCTTTGGGAAGGTGGTTCTTACTGCTTTAACCTCATGCTAAAAATCAGTCTCCCTGGTGTGGAGAGATTTGTTAGGAACATCTGGCTGGGTAGCTATTATGGTGATAACAGTGACCATCCAGCCAAACCGACCAGTTAAATTTGCCCATACAGTGTTCTGATTTCTAGGACTTGTTCTCAGTTTTTTATTTTCATTTGTTTCACATGTTGAATCTGTCTGTTGATACCCTCATCCTTGCATTGTAAAGCTTTGAGCCGTCTTAACTCAGAGTCAAGACTTAAATTCTGGCAGGATTTCCCAGTTCAAGTTACACGTTTTTCACTAACTGGCCATGTAAGGCAGCTTCCTGTAGACTGGACTGATGCTGTCTTCCTATGAGCACTAGGCACAGGTCTTAACTGACCTGGGAGGTAATTCTCTTAACCAGTTTTACTTTCTCATTATCTCAGATAGCATTTTGTTGGACAATTTTTATCTTGTAAATATACAGTTTTATCTTAAATTGTTAAAAGTTAAAATCCATCCTAAAATGATTAACTCTGTCACTGTCTTTCACAACACCGCAAACAGGTATTTTACCGTCTTGACCATTAAAAGAATATCCCTCCCCTGTAATCTATCAAGAGCTCTTTGATTACAGGGATCTTTATTTCTGTTTTACTCTAACTTTCACCAAAATTGCAGGCTAACACAGATCTGAAAATAAAATGCCTTTAAGCTTAGTTATTATCCTTTTCATGTGACTAAAGAGTTAGTCACATATTAGATGAGTTATTTGAGACAATAATGCTCGAGCAAGGAAGCCAGCAACAGGGATCTGATCCCCTTCAAAGGGAGACTAAATTTGGAAAGCAAGCAGGCACAAATTCCAAGTTTATGAAAGCTGCCGTTTGCCTCTACAAAAATAATTAGCTTGGTCTTCAGTGCCAAGAGTGAGAAAGCAAAGATGGGAAACAACACTTAATATAATTTTCCCACCAAAGTGCATTAAGAAATCTAACAGTGAAAAAGCTACATGATTCAACCAGCTGATACCCCTCAGACAGCAACTACACACCAGACAATCTCCAGTGTCAGAGCTCTGATGAACCTGTTGTGATCTCGCAGGCGGGCTCTCAAAGGCAGGGTAGCCGTACACAAAACCCCATTTCTGTACAGCGATAATAGTTCAGCACCTGTGTACTCCAAGGTCAGTAAGGAAATAATTCATACACAGAGAAGGAAGCTTCCAAGCCCATAAATCCAGCACACTGGGATCCAACATTCTCTGACTCATGTCAAGCAGGGAAGCGCACCTGGAGCTGCCACTGCTAAAGCAAACGTTTAATCCAAACACACACTTTCATCTCAAGTATTTTTAGACAGGTCTCCGTTTCACAAAATAAATCAGTTTAACATACAAAAAAAAATCTGCATAGTTCATATTGCATACAACGACCGTGAAAATGGTACAGCAGACATTTAAAAATAATGAATTATTGTGAAGCAATGATCCCCCATCAATTACAACACAAACATTACAGTGCAATGCACAAGAAGTTCCTATTCTTGCAATGGGAAGCTTGAAAGTAAAACTGAAATTAAGCTAAATCTAGCTTTTGGTAAGACCTTTGAAAAGAAGCAGATGCTAATCTCATTAATGTTAATTAGCTAATATTAGAAATAATTTCAATGAAATATTTTGCAAAGTTGTCAAAAAAAGATACAGAAGACTCAGATTTATAAGAGATGTGCTGGAACTTCAAGACAGATATCATCCTCTTCCAAAATAAAAACAAATAGTGGAACAGCTGTACATTTACTGAGCAGACCCTCAAAATAAACATTTTTTTTCTGGAAACTTGTCACAGAACACAGTGCAAAAATTGACTAAGTTAAAATAACTTTTTGAAGTGCACTACTTATTTGAACAGTACACTGATACTTGTAAAAAGCTTGAATACAAAAATGTCAAAAAGGGAAACACACATCTATGGTATAGTTTTGTGCATTCGGAACACTTAAAACGAAGAATTGAACAACTAACCCTTTTTGGAGTTCTTTCTTTAGGTTTAAGCATGTATCTTCTTACACCTTCTCTCTGTAGAGAATATAGCATATGGAAACCTGGTATTGTTCAGTCCCTGACAAAACCCACAGAAAATGGTGAAAATTTTGGACTTCTGTTATTGTTAACAAAATAACTTATTTTATTATAACCTATTTTGTTCACAACTCTCAGATTTACCGAAAACTCTCTTAGATTTTAAGGATTCTTTAAAATTTTGCAATACTCTCCTCCATGGGGATACCCAAACATGATTAAGGGAAATTATACCTGACAAATATAAGATACAGGGCTTAATACCATGCGTTTCCAAAGAACAAATTCCAATTATACTTCACTTTAATTTCATGTAAAGCCATTTGTTGATAGGCAGTATGCTCAGAATTTATTCCTGGGACAAGCAGTTATATTTTATAACATAATGATCTATTACTTTGCTTCTGTAATAAATTTGCAAATGCAGTGAACACGTAAGAGATGATAGAATAGTTTGTGCTCATCTACCAAAATTAAGGTGCAACAATTCTTAGAAAGATAAAGACTAGCAAAAAAAACACTAGTGGGTAACGAAGGATCTAAATTAAGAGTCTCAACTAACAGCAACTGAACAAAGTTTGGAAATGTGTGACCTACTTAAAAAAAACAGGAACAAGCTGAAGAAATGGATCGGCTGATGACACTGAAAAAAAACCTAACAGTCCAGAGAAAAAGGGAGAGAGACTGGATAAATAATAATGCCTTGGTATTTTTGGATCCAGGACCAGATGTGACGTTCTGTAGTTAAGGCAGTAAACGTTATTTTGTCACTTAAGCAACTACATTTCTGACTAAAAAGTCTCTTGTTATGCCTTCCACTATGATATAAAACTTAATTACTAGTTGCATGTATGTTTCTTTTTGCAGATCTTCATGCAATTGTGATAAGAAATAGAATATTTAACAGTAAAATTTTACTTAGAATTATTCCATAACACCATCATCTTGGTCCAATCTCAAAATACTACTTTGCAGTCACATCTAAAGCTACGAGTAGGGAGAGACCAGCCTCTATTTATCTCTTTATCAGGTTCATGGTAGAGAACAACAAGTATATGATATTATGAGACAATCCCTGCACGTATACTTTTAAGTTGTAGCTTTGGTATTCAGTTTGCTGCATCATCCCGTTTCAGAGGAATTATCTGAAGTGCTTTAGCTATTCTCTCTCCTACAGCTCGACTGCTTGCAGCAATTATTCTTCGAGACATCAAGTCAAACGGTCCACCTGAAAATCAAAACAAGCAACATAACTAGCTTATTCCCCAAGAAAAATAAAAGTTGGTAAGAAAATGAGCAAAAAAATCCAATATAAGTGATACATTAACAGACTGGCATTACCATTCAGGATCCCTGGATAAAAATGCATTTTAACTCAACAGCTCATATCTCATATGAGCTACGTTTACTCTTTGTAGCTCATGCAAATTTACTCATTGTACATTTATTCTTTTTTATTTACGAAGTGATGCTACTTTTACTTCTCTTCCAGGTGCTCAACTCAAATTGTTAAAAATATCTTATAAGCTTAAGAGCAAATGATTGCCTCTCTGTCCATTACCTGGATGGAGACACTGCTTAATAACGGCAACTCAGAAGGAAGACTAAGTAGCATTTACCTTCTCGTTTCAGCTAAGTTTTGCTCCCAATTAGCCACTTGAAAGGATACAGTAGTATCAAGGAAGGCCATGCATTTACCTGATACATCGAGCAGTACTCCACCTGCTTCAGTAATAATGATTCCAGCCCCAGCCATATCCCAGCAGTGAATTCCCATCTCGTAATAGGCATCTGCTCCGCCTGTTGCCACAAGGCACATGTTCACAGCTGCAGTACCAACAGCTCTTATCCTAAAGGAGATATTGTTGGTTTTTAACTGAGAGTAGTTCTCAAAACAGTCACAAACACAGTGTAAACTACACAGAGCACAAAAGCATCACACACAAAATGAAGTGAGCTAGAGAAAATATGATGGAATGTTGCAGTGGAACAAAGGCATGTAACGCCATCCTCCATTTGTGTTTAAGTATGCTAGAGTCCTAGAAACATACCAAATTTCCAGAAATAATGCTTATAAATTATATTGAAATCAAGCAAGTTTTAGATGTGAAAAACACCCTAAGCATTTTCTTAACCTAAAAAAAGTACTACGCAAGATACCTATTCCCTCCCCAAAGTAACAGATGTTCTGCTTTACTTTTTGAATACAATTAAAGCAGAGTTTATACTGTTCTCATCTTTCCAAAAAGAAAAAAAATCAGTTTCTCTAGTGACAGTTGGTAAACATCTCTGACATGTAAAAAACTAACAGTTTTAATAATCACAAATAATAAATTAACAGTATCAATTAGTTCTGGATAAATTCATCAAAACATTGCTAGCTGCAAATTCCAGTTACTTTTTGAAACATTAATGAAACCAGTAAGCAAAAGCGTCATTTCCAGAAATAATTATGTCAGTTATTGGTAAAATCTACATTAAATTGTAACGGATGCCAGCTGAAGTTACAGCAAAACACAACTTAAGTCAACTCTAATTTTCAAGTTAGTCTAACTTCGAAATTTTATTTGTAAAAATTAACAACCTAAAATACCTAAAATGTATTCCCCATTAACCGTTTAGCAGATATTTTTTAATGCCCTCACAAGTTTTTCTGAAAGTACAAAAAGTCTAAATGTGAAGAGTCAAAACAAAAATCCTGAGAATCCTGGCATAAAATTGAAATCCCTTTTAGGCCAGATGCACGATCAGGGTTGAATAATGAACAACCATCTTCTGAAACCATCTTTATACACAAAACAGCTTGTGGAAACATAGAATTTTTGTTTTATTTTGCTTCTCCTCTTCTGGGAAAGGAGAAGCAGGGAATGTAACTGAAATTAGTATTAATTTATGGACAATTTTAATTACTTGGATAAATTCAAACATTTATATGGATAAATTCAAACATTTTAATACATCAGATGTATTAAAAGTTTTTTCTTTACTAGAGGGAAAGTGATCTAACACAGCTACTCTAACATACTTGTTCTTTATGTAGTTCCGATTACTTCATGTGTGTTTCTACAGAAATACACAAAACGGGTACTCAATTGTTTAACTAGAACAGAAAATACAGTACTTTCTAGTCCTACAAAACCAAACAAGCCTCAATTCTCAATACAACCTCTCCCAGTTAGAAAAAAATTAAACACATAAAGTCCTTTTGGAGAAGCTAACTTTGAATCATAGTTCATTTCTGAGATGTTAAATGCAAGCAATGTCTGTATATAAATTAATAGAACTGATTCTTCCTAGAAATTATTATATTTAACACCAATAAATATCAAAAATAAGAAATAACTTACCCATGAATAGGAATACTGAGAAGTCTTTCCATGTTAGAAAGAATTATTTTTATAGTCTCTGGATCCCGATTTGATCCCAATTCTGTTACCAAAAGGGATTTTGTAATGTCTGGAAAGGAAATTAAAGCTTACTTTTCCAACAGTACATCTTAAATAGTGACAGTAATTAGGCATCTGAGTTCAATTCAAGCAAAGTTCTCCTCAGTTGTTTTCTTGTCAGACTGAACATAATTGAGGTATTTTAATTACATGACTGAAGAAAAAAATAAGTAATAAAGATCTTATACGAAACACGCCAGGCAAAGATAAAATAAAGTACAATTTGGTTTAATTCTGTATATGTATTAACTCAGGTCACCTCTATATAAATTTCTATCGTTAGAACAATTAGACCAATTCTCAAAAGTGTAAAGGTCCCAATTTAAGCACTGGTTTTCCTTTACATAAAGTGATAAGTATATAACAATCCTACTGTAGTTCAGAGGTGGAAGAAGTTAAACTGCCTGCTGGATTCATTAGTTTCTAAAAACGATTACAGGGGGACTACAGACGTACAAGGAATAAAACGACAAAAGCACAACACAAATTTAAGAAGACACATAGGGAACATAATCTCCAACGGCCTAATCTTGATTTGTATTTTGCAAGTTTACAAGTATGTGATATCCAAAAAAGAAGGAGAAGAAAGAAAGAAAGAAAAAAAGCTACTCAGCAGCTCATCTTACCTTGTTGGCCTGATACTTTAAGTTTCTGACCATTGCAAAATGCACCTTTTCCTTTCCTGGCAGTGTACATCTTGTCTTCTACACAGCTGTACACAATTCCAAATTCTATCTGCAAGAAAACAGTAAAGATACCTCAAGTAGTTTTTTTTTTTTCCCTTTCTTCTATCTACTTTCAAAATACAAATCTTAGTGATAGCTAGCAACAAGAAATTAAATTGATTTTGCTTGATTAGATATTAAGTAATAAAAAGTATACCTCTTTGTTTACAACAAAGCCAATTGAAACTGCCACAAATGGAAACCTACAAAACAAAACATTTCACTATTTTACAGGGAGATACTATGCTTCTTTTACTACCATGCTTATGCTTAATAAAAAACAATCTTCATTTAAACGTCTAGTATATTTTAAAAAGTCAGGTGAAATAATAGTTTTGTGGAACTTCTTTCTAAAACAAAAACTGCAAACAATTCTCAACTAAAAACAAACAGCAATCTGTAACTATTCATGAACTCATGGTATGATTTTAAAATGAATTTAAAAGTGAAAAAAAATCACTTTCACAGAGCTAGAGAAACAAAAAAAGGTAATCAGTTTAATTTGCTAACATAAAAGATGACAGTCGAACCTGTGTACGAAGTTCGTAGTTCCATCAATAGGGTCTATAATCCACGTGGGATTAGCTGTCAAAATGCTGCCTTCTCCAGCTGCAACAGATTCTTCTCCAATGAAACTACAGTAGGAAATACATTTAAAAATGGGAAAAAGAAATGTCCAAAATGTCTGAATTGCAATACTTGCCACACAATTCCCCTCAACACTCACAGATGCATCCCATCAGGTCCCTTGAACTTGTGTATATTCAGCTTAAGTGTTCTCTAACCTGACCCTCCTCCATCAAGTGTTTCCACTGCCTCCTGTCCCATTTAGCAGCAGGAAAATAGTTTTACGGGTATAACTAAATAGGCAACTTTGTAAAGGGATGAAATCTGAAGTGCAGCTCCACTTCAAGGAGAGGGCAGAGTGCCTGCTCTATCATACTGCTAAATCCAAGGAATACACATAACTGCTAGGGGAGGCTAATTTCTTTTTTTTTTTTTTGACCATTAAACTATTTGCCTTGAACTGAAAACCACTGGGATGAGTATGACTGTATGGAATTCTCTTCTCTACTTTTTGCATGTTATTAACATACTACTCAGACCATGAAAAGACTGAAAAAAAAAAAAAAAAAAACACAGAATACTGCTTTCCTCCAAGAACTGGTAAGACGGGGAGAACTGTTAAAATTGAAGAGTTAATTAAAAAATTAGCCAGCAGTTCATTTGGAAACATTTGGGCAAAACTCTGACCCACTACTACTCTGAAATATTTAACACAACATTACTTAATGAGACATTAAGAAATCAATCTATAATTTTCTAGTATCTCAGTCATATTGAAATGTTAGCAAATAAAATCAAAAACTTTCCATCTTGTTCTTCCAAGCACCTACTTCCTTTTTTTTTTTAAACCAAAAATGTATCAAAAAGAAGCTGTACCTGTGAGAAGGATACTTTTCTTTTATCAAAGAAATAATGAAGTTTTCTACTTTTTGATCTGTTTCTGTCACTAGATCTACTGGTGAACTTTTAGTCATAACAGATATTTCTTCTTTGAGTGCTCCACGGATTATCTGTTAACAAAAGAAAATAAAATCTTCATGAACAGTGGGAAAGTATTAATTTTTCCAATACTGAGCATCATTTGTAGTGCAATTTTCTATACCTCATTCACGAAACACAAATAGTGACACAAAATGAACTTAACTGCAGGAGCTGTGCCCAGCCCTGCACCTATCTCTCACCTCTGTCAGTAAAATTTTTTACTTGATTTTAAAACTACTATGGGAAGATCCATTTGTGGATGAAAGGGAGCTTTATGTTTTAAGCCAATTTATCTAAATATCAGTAAGCTGAATGAAACATGAAAGACAAAGCTTAAGTAAGCTATTTTTAGCCAGACCATGCACTTACGATTTAAAAACGATGAAAACTGATTAAAAACCTATGTCTCACAGCCCAGACAATAATTTTATTACAACTAAGATAATTTTGAGTTTTGTGCCATCTTACTAAAATGACAGGACGGGCTTCTACACTATTATGTTTTTCAGGTTCTCCTCCTCCCAGGAATCCAACTGGGACCAGTGCCATCTTGTTTATTGCAATAATATTCAAATATACCCAGCAGATCTACCAAAAGCAACTAAACATCTGCTAATCAGTCCTACGTCAAGACTTTGCTGAAATGTGCAAATTGTCTTTCTTATTCTAAGTCACCTGAAACCACAAACAGGCAAAGTACTGCCTCTGAGAGACGTTCCTGATTTAGAGAAAAGCAGCTTTCATAAACAGAAAATAATAATGTGTGTTGCACCAAGAATAAACCAACGAATTAAAAAGCTGACCAAAAGAGGTGAAATAATGCTACAGAGAAGTTGCTCAGAAGAAAGACTGTCAAAAGTTATTCAATTAAAAAGTTAGACAGTTACCTTTTTATGGAAAAAAAATGATGCTCTTTATCACAATTCCCAAATCATATTTTAAATCAAATTTAATGAATAAGAGATGTTCCTTAATCTTTATCACATTCTGGTTCATATGTATTTCAATACGTAAAATTGTTCTCTTGAATTGTTCTCTCTTGAATTAACCAAGCTGAAAACAGGGAAGATGCTCCAATCTTGAACATCACTGAATGATACTGCTAATTCGTATTTTTGACAGAACATTCCACAGAGGAATATCTAACAGCAAAACTCCTTTAAAGGCTGTAATATATCATTGTTAATAAATAACATTATTTAGAAATAGAAATACTTACTTCTCCAGCTTTCTTTGCTAAAGTAACTGCATAATCCATGCATTCTTGCCAAGGATCAGCCATCTTTTCTTAGCCTAAGAGATACAACAACATTTAAAGGATTATGGATATTTTTACAAATTCTAATTGTTTTACTCCTCTCCGGACTTCAGTCCAGTGGACCACAATGTTCTGCTTTTCTGGAATATATGCTTGTCCTACTCCTCACCGTGAAAGAGCTGTTTTAAGAAAATATATTAATAAACTTTGCCTGTTTTCATAGGTTTTTTTTCTTGTATTTTGTCAATATAACACAAAAATATCAACAGACACAGACCTTCAAAGTGAAAAGAAATATGGGTGCTAAATGCTATATTTAGACATGGACGAGAGCGCACATGAAGTCTTTGAAAAGCAACAGTGTGGACACAAGGACATTTTTGGATAGACTGTACAGTTCAGTGCTTGTTTGTTTAGAAAATACTGGGATCTTCAGTACAACTTATTGCAGATGATTGCAGCCACAGTTCAGTCTATTTTAAGCATAGTTTAGATTACTTTGGTTAACTTAAATTAGAAGGGAGCAAACCAAAGCCCTTTCTGTGGCTTATTCCTCTCTGCCTTACTCCAGCAACTTATTCCAAATACAACTACAAAAGGGTCTTGATTCTACATTAAGAACATGCAAGAAAGCACAGTTAAACTACCTTTACATTACCGAATACTGTGAAGCAATGCTATCTTATCTCACATGCATCTCTGCCTGCATAAGTGATGTGAAACACCAGTGTAGTGCACAGCCTTTCCAATACACTCCCTGTTTCAGTCTTCCGTAAGTGAAGACCAGTCTGACACTTGCTGAATCACACAGTTTAGAAACATGAACATGCAAAATCAGCACGGAAAAGTGTCAGAAATACACAGCAGTCAAACCTGCTCTGGGGGTCCGCAGGCTCAAGGGATGTGTCTGGACCCAGAGCCGGGTGCGGATGGTGCCCACCAGGATGCCCCTGTTCTCCACAGGGCACCGGCAGCACTAACGGTGCCTTGCGCAGATCAACGTCCTGCCAGCGGGGCAGCTTCATGAAACACGTCTAGGCTAAAAATGCCACAAAGGCAGCAAACCCGGAGTACTTATGCCGGTAAAATACCCGCGTGTACGCTTCTTGGGCACAGATTTTTGCCCCAGTTGAGCCTTGTCGCTCCGCGATGCCCACGCGAGGGGCACATCTCGCCGAGCCGAGGCGGGATCTCCACGGAGGTACCGACCCGGGCACACAGCGATGTTTCACCCTGAGCGGCCCTGCCTCTCACCGACCTCCTCTCTTCTCCCGCTAATTAGCGGGGCTGAATGACTGCGCGGACAAGCGACCCCCTCCCCGCATACCTGAAACGTGGCAGCTGCGGCTGCTGCCCGGCGCCGACCCGCCCCAGAGAAGAGGCAGAAGAAACAGAGAAAGAAGCGGGACTCGCAGCCCCCGACGACACCCGAAATGGCGACAGCCCGCACGTCCCCGCCGGCGCCCCTCGGCTGCTGGGTGCTGCGCATGCGCGCGGGCCGTTGGGGGTCCCCGGGGCGATGCTGGGCTGCGCTTCATCCATGTGCGATCCCATCGCCTCCCGTTAGCCGGGATCCGCGGGCTGTGGCTCCGTTTGGCCGCTTTGGCGGTCTGACAGGGCCAGGAAAAAGCGTGAATGCATACTCTCCAATTCCTTTGTAATAATCTAGTATTTAATTGATTCCATTAAAATTACAGTGCCTAAAAAGAGATGACTCCTCTCCATTACATCTCCCTCCTTTCCTGAAACCTTATCAACGCCTTTGAAACTTCTTTCTTTGTGGAGGCCTGCTTCAAAGATAGTTACAGGGGATGCCTTGTTAACAGTGGCACGGGGTGTCTCGTTAGCAGCCAGCCAGCCTCAAGGACGGCAGTGCAGGTGTGCTATCAGCAAAAAAAGGAGCAAAAACAACTGTCCGTCTGCTACGCCGCCCAGAAGGCGATTGGGTGGCTTTAATATTAGATTTTTATTGGCTTATTAGTAACTGTGTTTCGCATGCTTGTAGACAAATAAGGTACTATATCCGGCTGATTTACCATAAGTGTGTAGGCTGATGCCTTAATAAATGTCTTCTGGCTCCCTGCCTTGAGACCCTGCTCCTCTGCATGCCCGCGTGGCAACGCGGGGCCACGGCATACGGCGGACGCGCTCATCGTGCGGTGGGGCAAGGCTTGGCCAGCCGGAGGACTGAAGGGAGCCCACGCGCGTGCCTGGCCTCGGTGCTGGAGGTAAGCGGCGAGGACGATGGGGAATTCCATCACACAGGAGCAGAGTAACGTGGTAGAGCTGCTTCAGCACATTCTCCACAGAGAAAGACGGACTTTGGAAGAGACTGATCTGAAACGCCTTTTGGTATGGGCACAAGAGCACGAGCCATGTCTTAATACCCATACCGTATGCGATCCGCTGATGTGGGACAAAGTTGGGCTGGTGCTGTGGGACAGGGCGACCAGGAATGACAAGGAAGCAGCTGCACTTCTGGGGTCTTGGCGAACGCTGTTTGATGCGCTAAGGGCTTACGTAGGGACTGCTCCGACGACCACCCCCACGGCGTCCCAGGCGCCACCAGAGCCGGGGCAGGGGGCGGTGGGAGGTGCCCCGGTGGAAAGGCTGCTGAGTCCGGTGTGCAAGGAGCTGAGCCCCTGGCTGGCCGAGCAGGCAGGGATGCACCGGTGGGAGAAGGTGAGCCAGGAGGCCGTAGAGCAAGGGGATTTGAGCGTGGCAGATGCACTCCCGGTGCTGTTCTCCCGAGCTCACAGGCCCCAGTGTCAGCCATTAGAGTACGGTATAATCAAGGAGATTCGAAAAGCCATCAAGGAATACGGGCTGCTTGCTCCCTTTACTGTAAACCTGATAGAACACTATGGAGAGGCACATTGGTTGGTCCCACACGACTGGAAATTACTTATGAAGCTGATACTATCACCCGTACAATTCTTGGTCCTGATGACAGAGTGGCGGCAAGCTGCAGCGATCACGGCTTTAGAGAACCTGCAGCAGCAACCACCACTGCGAAATGTAGACGTAGAAGCGCTTATGGGGGAAGGGAGATTTCACACGTGGGCATTACAAGCAAACGGAATACCCGCAGAGGGTCTTATCCAGATCCGTAGGATGGTCTTGGCAGCGTTTAAAAAGACGCCTGATAGCGAAGCGAAGCGATTAGAACCTTTTTTGAGGGTTCGGCAGGGCCAGGATGAGCCGTTCATGGCCTTCTTGGATCGCCTGCGAGAGGCAGTGGACAGGCAGGTAAAAGGAGAAGACCCGAAGGAGTTAATATTTTTGCAACTAGCTGCAGAGAATGCGAATGGCCCTTGTCGGAATGCGCTCCAGGCGCTGAAGGTCAGAGTCCCGCATCCCACTATAGCAGACATGATCCATGCCTGTCAAGATATAGTGCCAGAAGAAGAAACAGCTACAATGCTGGCACAGGCTTTTGCTGCCATGCAGATTATGCCAGGCATGGGACCATGCTTTCGGTGTAAAAAACTGGGACATATTAAGAAGAATTGTCCTTGGGGGAATAAGAAACTCAAACCATCTGAATTGCGTCCGCGGTGTAAAAAGGGACAACATTATGTCAGACAGTGTCGGTCCACCACAGGCGGAGAAGGGGATTCATTACCCAGACAGGGAAATGGCCATCGCAGCGTGATGCGGGGCCGCGCGAGGACACAAATGAACCCCAGGGGTCCAATGGTTGAGCAGGTCAGCTCTGTGCCAGCACCGCAGGGAGCGACAGAGTGGACGTGGCCACCTCCGGCGGCACAAGACAGATACAGGAGTATGGATGCTCCCCACTGGCCTATGGGGTCCACTGGGGAGAAGGATGAGCACCCTGCTTATCAGGCGCTTGTTGGTTTCGAGTCAGGGTCTCTTTGTCCTACTGGGAGTAAATGATGCAGACTATGAGAGGGAGATTAGATTTATGGTCTGGACGCTGAACCCCCCTTGCTTTATTCCCCATGGGACAAAGACAGCCCGATTAGTCTGCTTTAAAGCCGGCCCCCCTGCTGCAGTGGGGTGTTCTTGTGGAACTGGTGCGTTCGGGTCCACAGGGAGCCCCCAGATTTTTTGGACACAAATATTACAGTCTGGCCACCCCATGCTGGAATGTTGAGTGCAGCACTCACAAATTCAGCAATTGATAACAGTTACAGGGCTTTTAGACAGTGGTGCCGATGTCACAGTTTTGCAGCCTTGGTGTGGCCCCCGCGGTGGCTCCCCATCCACTTGACGGCTGCCCTAACTGGTGTGGGTGGTACTACAGCCCCACGACAGAGCCGGGACACGTTAGCAATTGTAGGACCAGAGGGGTGGATGGCCACGATCAACCGTTTGTGCTGCCGTTGCCATCCACCCTTTGGGGGCGAGATGCATTAGGCCAGTGGGGATGACAATACATTTATTGTAGAGGCTGCTGAAAAGCAGCACACTCCTGCCCTAATGTGGAAAACCACAAATCCCGTTTGGGTGGATCAGTGGCCCCTAACTAAGGAGAAGCTGCCACATCTGCAACAGTTGGTAGCTGAGCAGCTCCAGGCTGGTCATATAGTGCCAGCCACCAGCCCCTGGAATAGCCCTGTTTTCATCATCAAAAAACGGAGCAAAAAATGGCAATGAGTACATGACCTCAGACGGATAAATGCGATGATTGAGCCAATGGGAGCGTTACAACCGGGGATGCCATCTCCGGCCACGTTGCCCCAGGACTGGGCTCTCGCAGTAACTGATTTGAAGGACTGCTTCTTCACTACCCCGCTGAGTCCGGCCAACGCGCGGAGATTCACGTTCTCGGTGCCATCTC